TAATATGAGACGTATATACAAAAATGTCCATAAGAAATAAAACAGGGTACTCTAAAATCTGTAGCTCCGGTCTGAAAAGCAATTCAGTTAATGCAAGTGGCAAGTGGGTGTCAGACGTCAGTTGACAGGACGAGAGTCTAGTTGCGTTGCCACTCGAGCTTTTCATTTAAATGATATAAAAGCCAAGTATATTTGTAGATTGACGTCAAGAGTCTTGTGGAAATATTCTATAACTAACTTTCACCTGCGACTCCGTCTTCCTGGAATAAAAAAAGTGTGTATCCTATTTATTCTTCCACACTATATCTTCACCAAATTTCATTTAATCCGTTCAGCCGTTTAGGATACAAACTCTAACAAACATTAATCCATTCATCTAAACTTTCGCATTTATAATATTAGTATATTATAAATGTACTGTCTCTGAAATAATGAATCTATGTTTCAGTTACATGTTGCAATATTGTTGCTGATATTTCTGAAACTATTGGTTCTTTGTGAGTTTACCTATTACTTATTTGGTACTTATTTGGTTTTCGCTATCTTGATACCAATAAATGAAATAGAATTAACTGTCATCAAAGAAAAACCTGTAATTTTCAAACACCTATCCATTTATACAGATGATCCATCCTCACCATCTCGATGGCTGGCATTCGACAACCGTGCGGTTTTCGCACACAGCCGCGTTGTGGAACGGTCTGTCATCAAGGATATTTCCAGACCAATACGGCTAAGAGTCCTTCAAGAAGTGAGCCTATCATTTCCTCAAAGGCCGAAAACGGATCTATAGTTCCTTTGGTGTTACGGATGTCCATGGGCGTTGACCACCTCGGTGTTTTCGCTGCTCGTTTGCCCCCCATTTGTTATAAAAAAAATCTGTGATCAGTGCCTACATACTTTCATCGTAACTTATAAAAATTCTTTTTGATGAATTACATGCCGTCAAATTCGTGTTTTTCTACAGAGCAAGATAACTAATACGATGTGTTAAAAATTGACGTTATTAAAGTTTATATTTTAAGAATTTTTCACTCATATTTATTAATAAACCTTTAGGCTAATTAAAATCACCGCAAACAGTTCAAAGTAACCTTGGTGTTGTGAGGGCTGTGGTGCCAGCCGTTAGAGCATTCAGCAAAGAGGAGGTCTGCTTTGAGACTAATTAGGTAAGTGGGGTCGGTTTCGCCAGCTTACATTTAATTAAGAGGTAATATCGAAGAACTAAAAAGATGTTAAATATAGTTCTGTGGATTTTCTCTTTAGTTACTTTATGCCGACATTTCTTTTATAAATAACATTTTTAGTTTAAAAGTATAATTTTTATACTAAAAGAAATATTAGGCTCACGTTCATATGACCTCTTTCGGTATAATTTTATTTATACTTTAAAGTTTGTTTAAAATAAATAAAAAGTGCTGTGTAATTGAATTTAAAATTATTTCACCCTCTAGAGTAATAATTTCACTGAATTAACTTGAAAACTAACACAAGGCTGAAATATATTTTGTAAACGAACTTCGCAAAAACATGTTCCACTGAAATTCAAATAAATTACTTTTAATTTTTTGCAAATTGTGAACTTAGTAGTGTATTTTTATAACGGCAAAGTTAAGTCAACTTATTTAAACATAGCTCTAAGTTTCTGTAGAAGTTTAGTACAAATGTATATTAGGTAAGGTAAGGTAAGGTAAGGTATAAGGTAGGTTTATCTTTAAAATGTCACTCCGCCATTTCGGCGGATTCTGGTGGCCGCTTGCTGGTTTGCCACCTTACAATATAAAAAAAGGTATTTTCTCTGTTATTCTGTTAGTCTATATTTCCATATGTATAAAAAATAATATACCCCGGAGTAAGGAAATATTTTCAATACTAGCTGAACTACACTCTGACCCTAATTATTCACAGCCCCATTCTCTATTGTTATTGCTTAAGTTGACCCAAATTGTACACGCGCGGCAAGTTTCTGTACATACATGTATGGTGTACATTGACTTGTATACAATCAGAATATTCCTTTATGTAACGTAGGATAAACTAATAATCTAATAGAGATAAGCGAAAATTAAAAACGACTCAACACACATTTTTAGCCTCCGGTGACGTCACCGACTGGTTGCAGACCCTTCGGGGGTCCTTCTTCTTGAAGAACCGTCTGCCGTCACCGGAGGATAAAGGCGTCAGTTGAGCCGTTTTTATTTTCGATTTAAGTAATGTCTCACGATAGTACTTAGATACGTCAGTAATGATGACCTCTCATCAGATTTGGTAACAAAACCTACATTATATGAAATTTCACGTTTTAAATGTGTTACAACTAAATACATCAATTTAGTTAATTACAGGCCTAGAATTAGCAATTTAATTGTAGGATCGAGTTATTGATATGAGAGTAAAAGTCTTGAAATACCTTTAATGAAGAAAATCAGTCTTTTCTGATGTATACTTAGATTTGTTATCTATATGTACATATATTAAAATTGTAGTGTCTGTAATATCAAAAGAAAAATTCCAGATTTCGGGAAGATGATGTATTTGCGTTGCTGATAACGAAAATCGCATTCAATTTTTTTTGTCTGTCTGTCTGTCTGTTCGCAAGCCTCATTTATCCCGGATAATCTCCGAAAAGGCTAGGCCAATTTCGATGGGACTTTCACTGGAGGCTATCATAGGCTACTTTTTTTTAAATTTCGCGATGTCAAAATTGCGTAAAGGGGTTAAATTTGCGCTAAAGAAATTTGCGGGCATCAGCTCTTATTAAAATAAAAGATGTAAATTTTATAGATCATTTATTTTTAAATTGAAACCACGGATAAAACTCTAATCATTAAAAAGACTAATTTTACAAATTTTTATATAGACTTTTTTCGAGTACATTGGCACAACTTTAAATTACCTTTGGTTTTGACTGCTATAACACTCATACAAAGTTTCAAGTTATTTTCAAAATGTCCTTCTAGAAATAACTAATAACTCTACGTATATCTGCAGTGAAAATTCACGGTTAAATACATGATAGAAATATTTAATTTGGCCATTTAATTAATAATTACACATACATTTGACGACAGTAAAATTTAATTAAGTTTAGTTTTCAACTACATTTTATAAATAACCTATAAATATATCTAAATATCTCTAATAGTCAAAAAATGTTCTAATAATTTATAATTATAAAAAAAAACATATTGATTATTATTTTTAATATCTCAAAAAAGTATATTATTATTTTAGTATAACATTTTTAAACTTAAATATGTATTTACATTTACTTTTATTCATAGACAACTGAGCGTAGATATTAAGTATTATTTTATTCTCTTATTTAAAGTAACATTATTAATAAAGATTAAAATTATTTAATAGTAATATTTACAGACTACTGATTGAGCCTTAAAATTTGGCACACTTATTCTAATTTGGCATCTCAAACGTTTCTGTCAATTTAATGTACATTTACATTAACTTAAACATAACATAATTTATTTATATCTAAGATCATATTCTACGTTTTACTTCGCGATTTTAACCAACTTTATTGTTTAAACTTTAAACCGATATTAATTTAACATTACCTAAATTAAATAATGTAAACAAAAGCCTATAAATGTAAGAAATACCCTAGTTTTATACAGTAATACCCCGCTTCAAGTGATACGTTCCGAAGAAAATCGCATTAACATAGTCAAAATTTAATACAAAACAATACAACCATTTTAATCAATCACTTAAATTCTAAGAAAACTTTATGCAATACATACTCTTATTTTTTACGGAAATGTACATCTATTGTCTTTTGGGTAGTGTTTTGTTTACGTTCTTGTAAAATACGTTCATAACACCCAACACTGTGAAGACATAAGACCATAGAGAAGTTAATGACTACATTATGTTTATACGCACTCTTTCGCGTAATGCGAGACATTTGAGCGCGAAATTTGAAATTCGCGTTATAGTGAAACCGCGCGTAACGCGGTCGCGCTAAGCGCGGTATTACTGTATTTTAAATGTACATTTATTGTATTTATACCTAATTTTGAAACTACTGTTGACGGAACAAGTAAAATTTCGTTTTTAGTTATGTCATGTCGTGAAACAGTTGAAATGCAATGAAAAAAAAATCATTTTAAAGGAACGAATAGTCGTTGCATAGGTAATAATTCTTCTTTTTGTAATAGATAAAGCCAATGTTTTAAAAACTTTTTCTTAACATATTTTATGAACTAAAAAACAGAAAACAAACGACTTTAGTATACTAAATAAAAATTATAGCAGATTTAATAAGTTCCTTAGACTTCTTTTGTTTTGTGTACTTTTCTTCATAGAAATTGTATAAATCGTAGATATTGTATAAATTGTTTTTTAGTTAATGTTAAAAGTTACATTAATAATAATGATTAAAATTATTTAATACTAGTATTTACAGACTTCAAAATTTGGCACACTTAATCTAATTTGGCATCTCAAAGGTGTCTTTCAATTTAATGTACATTTACTTACCTATACTTATATTAGTAATTTAAATCTAAGAACATATTCTCCGTTAAATTGTTTAAACTTTAAAACGATATTAACGTAATATTACCTATATTAAATAACGGAAACAAAGCCCATAAACATTATTATATCTTTAAAAAAATTGTGCACGGCTTGCCTTAAATTTCATTCGACAACACTTTGAAAAAAAAACAAGATTTCATCTTCTTCAAAATCTCTTATTAGGCAGTGGTTTTGTATTGATGTTTATCGCTAGATGTCCACAGATATACGATTAATTACGTGTCACATTTGTCTATTTTTTGAGAAGCTTTGAAAATTAATGAATAACAGACGTTTCTATCAGATAAGCATCTTTTGCAAGCTTTAGTTCTTTACATTATAATATTCAATAATATACATGTAATTAAGTAATCTTTTAGAACATAAATTTATTACTTAAGCTTAAAGCTACCTTAAGAGCGAGTTCTTAACTGTAACTTGTTTAAATGTACTAGGCTTTAATTTATTTCCACACTATTTTTATCATACGAAGTACAATATAAATGTAAAAATTATAAAATCATTTTCACACACATTATTCATATTAAGAAAACACCGGCAGTATTCGCTGTACGTATTGTCCTTAGGCCTACACATCGCTTGTTGGCGAGGAGGCTGAGTCGCGGCGCTAGTGAAGCTGGCTCTTTGTACTAAACCCATAGTGAAGGTATGGTGACCCAGCGCCATCCCTAGTGTTAGCTGGCCCCCCACCGCTGCCAGTACTTGGGCACTTGAGCGCAGATCTCAACTCCGAAGCCATTTCCGAACAAAGAGACGCCTGAGCCCACAAAGTTATCAAAGGTAGATTTTATACAAAACTAAATAATTTTATGCTCAGAAAAAGTTTACCTCTTCTTTCTGATATTTCCATTGCGGCATCGATAAAAAAAAACACAGAATTATATATAATATATTAATCATTGAAAGAAATATTTGAAATGATAAATTAGGTATCCTATCTAGCGGCTACTTAGATTATGCAAAGTAGTTTACCTATATAACGTACATTCAAAAATAAACCTAGAACAAAATGAAATAGCGGTTAAATAAAACACATCAATAGATATGGAAAAATAATGTTTGTGCAAAATAATTAAAAAAAAAGAAATAAAATCGTTTAAAACAAATACTCACCCGTTCATCAACGGCCACCTTCCTTGATTTCCAAACGAATTCGCAGACGGCAATAACACAAGCTACCCCCATGCCCCCCATTAGTACGACGAACACGCCGCCTACATTAGCGAGGCCCAGTTCGTTGGCTGTCGACGACGATTTTGAGGTTTCATCCTGTATAATCCAATCACATTCATAAACACTTAACAAGATTAGTTACACCCTGTTAAAATATACTAAACATTTAACTTGCTTTCAAAATATTAGTTATAGATTTTGTAATATCATAGCAGTAAACTTACCCTACAAGAACCTCCACCGCGTTTCTCTTTCCACCATTTTGTTTTTAAAATATGTAATTTCCCTTCCTCTTGCAACTTTAAAACAGCACCACTGATTGCAGTTCGATATGGTGAGTCTAAAAACGTACATATACCAATATCCTTTTTTGCAAAGAGAAATGTTGTAATGTTCCGATAATAACAGTCTCGAAGATATTCAATTAAAATAACACAAAACCTTAGTTTCTACTTACTTGGGGGCATTGCGATGCCGTATCCCTTTGAATCTAACATCCCTCCAACTTGCGTAAGATCGCAGTTCCTTTCCACAACGTATTCGATAGTAGTCGATTCCATTAAATATGCATAGGAACCTTTACCACGCATCACTCGCTCTTCGCCTTCTTTGTTGCTGCTAGTAAATACAGACGGTCTCGCGGATTCCATAAAAGACCACATTCGCTGATATGTTGAGAAGTTTGAATCCTATGCACCAAAAATAAAGACATAATAAACATTCATTGATTTTTGTTCATTCTAAGTAAAAAAAACTTCTAATTGCAGTTAAATATGGTTCATAATCTAAAATCTGTAATTTTTCGCCCTCGAACAAAGAAATCTTTAAACTATATAAGCTTTGTAATTAAGAATTACTGCATACTTAATTAAAAAGACATCTGAAGAAGAAGCTTTATACTTAAGCAATGTTCTTATATTAATTAAGACTAACAAAATTAAAACTTTACCCTGAAAAATGCAGCAGTAGAACCGCCTTTCAAAGCTCCGTATTTAATTTTAGTCTGCTTTGCTAAGTCCTCTGCGCTTTCAATGGGCGAGTCCATTCTTTCCACTGTAAGGAACGCCGCTAAGTTTGCAGTGTAAGAGGATATCATTATCAACGTAAAGAACCACCACATTCCTGCGACCATTCGGGTTGATACAGCCCTGTTTAAAAATGAAAAATTAAAAAAAAAATCCTTGTAAAGGCAGACGAAAGTCACAGTAACTTTCCAAAGCTGAAATACATGTACGTAAATATGGAAAAAGGCCAGAAGAGATAGATTTGTTTAAAATTGGAATAAAAATGTGTTTTGTACATGTATTTAGGCAGTGGAATCTCATGGTTAAAATCAAAAACAAAAACACGACATCTAAACTAGCATCTACATAATACAATTCACATCTTGATGCAGCAAGCTATAGATACTACACTGAGCCAGTTTTTGTAAATGAATTCCTAGTAATATAATAAAATACACTTTAGCGAAATATGTAATCTCAACCCATTGCATTATTTAATGGGTGACAATGTTTTAACTTCACAAAGGGTTGCGATCCCTTTGAAACTCAGACAAATATTGTTGACAGATCCATTTCCGGGATTTATTAGCATAGGATTTCTAATTAAACGCAACTAAAGTTTGATGAATTATTTTTGAATTCTCTGTCGCTATGTAAAACAAGAGACTAGCGGCGTAATGAAAATGGGAACGTGAGATTTGATATGTGACTGTTTGTAAGAAAGATGTTATAGAAATTTGATCCCTTTTGGGATGAAAAGGGGGTTGAAACGAAATTGATATTACCGAAGATATTGATAATAAAACCGATATTTGAATTATTCACAACTAACAAACTGACGATATATGTCATAAACTTTTAAAGTGTAGATGGAGTAGCGGAGAAACGGAACTTCTGTAGTTTTGACGTTAGAAAATTAACTTGGTACCAAAAAATCGATGGATACAAACTTGCTAGCATTGGATAGTGTAAACTATTTCTTCTAGCTGTAAACAAATGTCTGCAACCGTAGAAGCTATCTGTTAGCCAATGTGGACTTACTTCGGTGCGATATCCGAACCTTGCTGCATCAAGGATCCAATAGTGAACCAAAGCGAGTTCAACAGAGTGAACTGGTTCTCCAACACTTGGGGCTCGTCAATACAGTTCCCGGGGCTGTCCCACTCGTAGGGGCTGAACCTGCGCCCAAATACAGCCCATTAATGAATTCACGAATCACAAATTCTCTCGTCAACTCGGACAAAAAACCATAAAAAACCGGTTATACCCTTGATGACGAAATTCAAGAGTATTATTGTACGAAGTTATTTATTCTCTGACGATTTATTTAGAATAGAGCCGTGGATTTACTACCCATTTCATTCTAGTCGAATTCGCTGCGGTCACTGTTTTAAAACGCGTTGCGTTTTTAGAATCTCATATCTTACTTGGGCAGAAAATCACAACTTTGCTGCATAAGGGATCCGATAGCGAACCACAAACAATTGGCCAACGAGAAAATGTTTTCCAATTTTTCGCCATCCGATGTGTGTGTTGGATGCCATTCGTATGGTGTAAACCTAGTGGTATTGAACTTATGTAAAACTTGTTAATTTGTTGCATAAAATGTTGTTTGAATAATCAACATTCAAGTCAAAGTATGTCTTTATAAGTACTAGTATAAATTAGGTAGAAATGGTTATTAATTTCAATGATTTGATGTAACATACCAAATTATTGCACAATAAAAAATCACATAGAATGTAATAAACGCTTCAGTTCCGAAAAACATTTCTTTAAAGGAGTGCGTTTAGTTTAAAGCAGTCTTTGAAATTAATTTCAAATTCAATATGATTTATAAAATACTGGTAGCAGTTTAAAGTAGTATTTGTTAAAAGTTAAAACTTATTCGTAATTTACGCACCTTGCAAGAATAAATAAAAGTACAGAAACCCCCAAATACGCTGTTGCCATATAAATCCAAACATCCAAGGAAAGAGGCGATAGGAAGGAGAATAAATTTGGAGGTTGCTTTATAGGCTTCCGATATAAAACCGATATGCCGAGATTCATGAAAGGCATCGTGAAATCAACCACTTGTTCCCTGTACAAAGAAAAGTATACATCTTAAATAACTTTAGCAAGACTCAAAAAATGTCGTAATAAATGTTGATTTTATCTTCATATTCTCCTAATACAGTAAATGGGAACATTTTTTGGAAATCACATTACATAAACAGCATTCTTAAGAACCCTTTGAAACCACTGTGGTCTTCAATAAGGATTACATTAAAAACACTATCCAAATAGTTATTAATACTATCAGAAAAGGCCAAGGTCTAGCTTACAAACGTATGACAGAAATAATTCTACAATTCTAAGGAGCCCCCAATCTACAACACGTACCTGTCGTAAGTGATCGTAAGATCGGCTATAGCAACATCTGCTCTTTGTTCCAACAGCTCTCTAATCATTCCATCCCACTCTTTAGTCTCTCGGTTGTAAGAGCCATATCGTCCATCGGGTGCAAGTTTGAAAGTATAATTAAAGCCAAGTACTTTTGAGATCTCATGTATCAGATCAATGGCGTAGCCCTCAAACTGCGCATTACCAATAAGCTTTTCACTTGCCTCTTTTCTCATACAATATGGAGCACTCTGGAATAAAAATTCTTATGCAAAACGTACGTATTATACTACTATTCTTACTTACTCTAAAATTTATCGGAAAGACAGCGATATTAACTTTGAACATTCTAAAATGTGCTCAACTTATACTTAATTCAAACTACTAATTCTTATAATTTCCATGAGTGTTTTAAGATTTAAAAAAATAATCAAACCAGTATGGTAGTGACGACGAGTGTTTTGTTCTGTAGTATTTCCACTATTTGCTTTTGATTATCGCCGTAAGACCTCGTGTAATTGACGCCTTCCGAGGAATTCCACGTCCCGGCCTTCTGCAAGCCGTCCCTTGTTAATTCGATAATGTCAAGAGTGAAATCGCTCCTAAATCCTTGGTGGTCAAACTTTATAACACCAGTTAGTCCTTTCATCTCCACCTATTAAACGTATAAGTCTCGTTAAAGTTTACACATTAAGTTCTGTATTACACACTGTAAATTACGATGTATTTAATTAATTTATCTATACTATTATAATAAAGCATAAACACACACTTCTTTGTTGCCTAAGATGTCAGCAATTACAGCAAATTTTTGAATAATTCCTATTTAATAAAAAGCCCTACTTACGTCACGCTTTAGGCTATATTAAACTTAGGGGGTAAATATTTTAGGTAAGAACCCTAATGTGGGAAAGAGACCATAAGTTGCTGCCAACATTAAGGAAGCAAGGTTGCTATAGTTTGTCATCATGTCATGTCATTTAGAATTGATAATTTGACACATGTAAACAATATAATAATTTTTTCATAATTTTATGCGTATGAAGTCGCACGGGAACAGCTAGTTAAATTAATAAATTAACTTACAATTTTCATATAATTGATGAGACTGTATCCATGAGGCCACGTGTCTTCGGCGTCGCAAGACAAGGGTTTTACGTCAATTTGTTGGGAAGTGTCGAGGTCGTGCAACGCTTTGGCGAACAAATGTACCGCGTCGTACATCAGAGCTGTTTCAGTCTGTTAACAAAGTGCTTTAGTGTATATTACAATGTGTTTTTTAATTACACTATTAAAGAAAACTTTTAACACTGTAATTATTGCTGTCTCTTTACACATTGACACTGAGACACTTTTGAAGAAATCTTGGATTCTTGTAACATTACTCTTTTTTATTTTAACATCACTTATTTATTATTAAAAGTACACTTACCTTAATAAATGTCATATTTTCCTGAAAAATAAGTTAATTTAATTAATAAATCAAAGAAATTTAAGTAATAGGATTAATTTTTAGCTTACTTACTTTAGCTGATGTATGACTTAGTTGTAATTTACGACCTTTTCTAGCTTCATCATACACCCAGTCTCTCACGACTCGTTGTACATCTGATCTCTCAGGGTCCAACAATCTTAAAGCAGTGATATTCGTACCGCCATATTTGAATTCTTCCAAATCAACGCTGTGTAAATCCTAAAGAGAATCAAAGTTATTCATTATATCTACACTAAGAGATGGTTATCAATCATTAAACAGCACTGATTGTGACAATAACAATCGAATATTAAAACGACATTTAAATGTGTAACAACATCTTTGGTGATAAAGCCACGCTAAAAATTTTATTTCCGTTAAAACTGTCAGCAGCGTTGTCGAAGTCAATTTAAGATTCGTTTCAGTAATGGGCCGTAAGATAGTTTATCGAATGTTATTTCCAAAAGTATACTTACCAGTGATGTTATTAGATAGCTATGATAATCCGACATCATACCAATCTGTTGAGCCTGTTGTAACACATCACGTATCCTTTCTGTTGCACAGTCGAGGACAATATGCGATTCGGCAGAATTTTTTATTTGCTTCAAAAGTGGCCTACAAAAAACAAGACACATGCAATACGACCATACAGAAGACAGGCGGGAAGTGAGAGCAATTCCACGTAATTTCTACACACTTTTCTTATGAGGAAAGGAACGATAAGTCAATTTGACGGTGGAGGAGACGCATAGGAAGATGAAATATCCTCTTTACTTGCATTTTCTTCTCCGTCGATTAAGGTTTGGCAACGTATTTGTAATTGCGGATGCTTATGGGCAGAGGTCTTTTCGCTATTTCGTCGGAATCAGGCCGATTGATTGTGGGCTACTTTATAATATTTTTTTATAAAATACTTGTAATACCTAGTCCTTGGGTGAAACTAGCAAGTGATAGTGTTCGTGAAGTGAAATAGATATTGTAATTACCTGTAATCATGTGATTCAGGTAGTTGTCTAACCGCGACAGGGAGTTCCGTAGGCCCATGAGCTTTCAGAAGCTCTTGAAGGCGAACCAAGCCGTCGCTATTTTCATATACAATGGTAAAAGATTTCCAACCCCACGCTCGAACAAGGTCTACATATGCCTAAAATTATTGTTCAATTTACATCGAAAAATGAATTGGATTGTTCAACATATTTAAAGCAATATTAAAAGATAGAAAGCTTATAGTTTTAATATAATAATCTTGTACTAAGCTTATCACAAATATTTGTAAGAACATTTTCATAACGTCATAGATTTGTGCTGCGCCCTACCGGACGATAAAACAATACAAAATGTCGATGAATTTCGATTACGTTTTCGTAACTTTCACGGAATATTTGTGATATGAAAGTATTAGTAACTCTTACCCTACTTAATGCGGCAGGATGGGGATACAAGTTAACGAGACATGACTCCCTTCGCGTACGGTACTCCCATCTGGTCTCCAAATGGGGTAGTTCCATAGTGTCGCAGATAGACTGGACATGGGCAGCCGCAGGTGCTGACTGAGGTCCGAATATCGCTGCGACACCACTTCTTAGAAGGTGGCATACTATATACGTATAAATTTTTAAGTAAAACAGCCAACATAGATGTTGTTCTTTTTAATCTGATTGCAAATTAAATTAGTTCCATTGTGTAATTGAACGTGGGAGTTTGATTTTGTATTAAAAATTTAAAAATGCCGAAAAAAAGTCTTAATATCTAGATTAAAAAGTTCTATTAATCAATCACTAGCTATCATTGTGCAATCATTTTCAATCAGAAAGTAGTTATTTTATAATGACTTAAGTATCGTATAAGTAACAAATATCAGTAAGCAGTCAGTAAGCAACAAACCTCGTTTAGACGCGTGGAAGCTATCTTGTGGTGATATGGTTTCGACTTGGGCTAACAATTTGGCTCGGGGTAAGACCGCCCTGTCCGCATTTACCCGCTCGACCGCGTACCGGAACGCTACCTCCTGCTTATCGTCCTCAGGATGGAATAACCCACCTTATTTACATAATACATTCATTATTAAATGTTACGAAGGTTCAAAGTTATGAAAATCTATTTTGCAAAGTAACACAAAGCACTTTGTTTAAGAAAATATTGGAAAATACAGAGATATACGATTACTAAATTGTCAATTTATTTCGCTTAATCTTACCTATTCGTATTGTATCTGGCAACGCAGACAGGTGTCCAAATAATAAAATCAGGAAAAATGTTTTCGTTCCCCTCATTCTGAAACCATAAAATTATTGGAAAAACTTTTTTAATACCGAAGTTTGAAGAAAACGAATTTTTAACAACCGGTGATTTACAATTTCACGAAAAACTACGAAGTGTGCTTTATTCGGAAGAACACATTATTTGCTACTTAACATTTTACAAGCCACAATGTTACACACAGTTTTATTTACTTTAAAGGGCATCAGCTCTCCAAATGGTTCTGTAATTACAGGCTCGTTACTCTAATCTCATCGCACTTTCGGTTCATTAACGTTTAGATATTGCTATGTTCAATTAGGAAAGGCTAGTTGTAGTTATAAAATATTTAACAAACTAAAGAGATCGTGTTTACATTTTCTTATTTTACGGATTTTTTTAAGAATAAATTTGCAAATTAACAATGCATTACATCTTATAGCTTTCTTATTTATTATCTAGCGCAATAAAAATCTTTCATCCTCTTTTGCACTCACTTAAGCTTCATTATGACTAGAATTTTCATCGACATAATATTACCTGATATTATTTCTAAACTGCTTTGAATATCCAAATAATATGCCGATATATTTTTATGATAGCATTAACTGTCGCCTGCGAGTCCGTCTGCGTGGGTTAAAAAAAAACAAAAACGAATAGCCTATGTGTTCTTCCAGACTATCCTCTACATCTATACCAAATTTCAATGAAATCCGTTAAGCCGTTTTGGCCACCAACTCTAACAAACATCCATCCATCTAAACTTTCGCATTTATAAAATTAGTATGATAAAAACTAGTTATACAAAAAGATAACTGCTAAAATTAGCTCTTTGTTCAAACGGTATCTGTTTTCTTAGCTGATGCATATGTTCATACTTTATTATGTTAGGACGGCTTACATATTTAAATGGGATAGTCTTCGTTGTGTTTACACAATCCCTATTTTGCGTAATTGAATACTAAATAGTCTGGATACTCTAATCTTGATTTTACTCCGAACCCTCTATACAAGAGCGTACTTCTATCTCTATTTTTTGTCAGAATAATGAGTAGGACCACATGTTTAGTACTTGTACAGGGAGTGGGAATACAACATTATTATTTTATCTTAATATAGATATAGGCAAGGATAGTAATATAGGTAATCTACGATAAGAGATTAAGGACCTGTCCCACCACTGGCTGATAGAGGCTCAGATAGCTATAACGGCGTCATTGTCACATAAGGTAACAAAATCCGACATTTCCATCACATATTTTAAACGTTGGATTTTTATCAGATAATTTACAATTTTGTGGGACAGGCCCCAAGTGGTTATACCTCTTAGTTTGAAAATTGGCAACGATATGTACGTTTATGTTCACGTATCATGTTTAACAGTGGTTAGTCTGTAACAAAATTTACTCGACAAGCTTTAATAACTTTACCACTATGTTATAGAAGGCATTACGTAGATATAGTCTGTGGTTCGCATTGTGAATGGAGGCCGGAGGCTTAGTTCCAGACGGCATCCGCTACCCATCCCTTTGTAAAGGATTGGGGGAAAAATTTGCTAGGAGAATATCCAACGTATGTTTATCTGAGTAAAAAGCGAAAGTGTATATACAAAAATTAAAATCATTCAGGATATGTTAATATAAAGTAACTAAACGGGCTATAAAACGACATTTTAAGTCCTATTCCTATGTACTTTGAAGCGCCTTTACCTTTTTCTGGATAAGATATTATTCAATAACGTGTTGAATTTAATAAAAATTTGAATTAGGAATATATCTCCACTTTAAACTAAACATGTACCCTTATTTTAGGGCCTACATTTGAAAAAATACGTTTGAACCTTATCCTTTCCATTGGACATTACCAGAATGTAGTATTATGAAAATTAATTACGTTTACGGTAAAATAAGAATAAACAATAGCGGTTCATCAATCTACAAAAACTGTATTTTAAACCAACATGTCTATTTTATCTATGTGAGTAATCGTGACAAGCATTTCTTTGGCTTCAGTTATACTACACTCACCTGCACTGATTAAATAATTCTCCACTTCAATTACATTTGGATTAATGTTTCATAATTGAAATTTAAATGAAACAAATAATACATACAAAAAAACTAATATAAATCACAAACACTAATCACTTAGGAACAATGTTCGTTGTATGCGTCAGTCATCGCGTAGCTTACACAGTTAACAGTTATCAGAAGTAGTTATTTTTAGATTTTATTTAACTGTAATGAGTCGTTTATGGTTATTGTTATATTCAGAGCCGGTAAAGACACGGCCGGCCCCGATGGCAGCCGCGGGTAGCTAACGCTTGCAGGGATGAAGCGGTGAAGCCTTACCGCGCTTGCGCGTAGACCAACTCGTTGTGATTTCCATCCACAGAGTTGGTATACACGCCTTTATAATCTACGACTCCTTATTCTATATCCCAGGAGCTCAATTACTCTTAATAAGCGATTTAAATATTAAATCTATTGACATTAATTTACTTGTCGTTATTTAGTAACATTGTAATTAATATAGCTTTAGTAATCTTACTAATATTATAAATGTGAAAGTTTAGATGGATGGATGGAAGGATGTTTGTTCGAGTTTGTAGCTTTAACTACTGAACGAATCTCGATGAAATAAGGCATATATGTAGAGTACAGCCTGGAAGAACACATAGGCTACATAGTTTTAATCTACGATGACGGAGTCGCGGACGAAAGTTAGTTTATCATAGTGTTTGCTTTTGAATTTAAAATAAGCTCCTAACCACCTCTCAGATATATGATTACGTTAAAACCTTAAGGGTCTTACCAGAAAAAAATAGCTCAAACATACAATACTTTATGGTGAAAATAACCACGTTGACTACCACAATATCTTCGTCCGTTAAAGGGTTAAAACGTGTGGAAAACTATACAGTGTCAAAGTAAAATTGGGATAGTACAGTAAGGATTTAAAACAGTTGGGAATATTGAAAAATGTGGGCGACCATAATAACACCGCCGTCTGCTAGCTCGCGCACGCAACGCAGCGCCGCCCGTCCGTTGAACCCGCGTGGATTTCATGTCGTCAACGAGAATTTTCTTTTCATTATTCACACCGCGAATATTTCGTCCTTCGATATAACAATAGGCTGCGCACAAAATACACCACCCTATGCTAATTATGATCCGCTCTAGAAAACAACATCGGAAGCTGTACTGGAATTAAAAGCGTGGCGTTTGTAAAAAAATATTTCATTTTACGTTTTTCATCTACACATTTTTTGCGATCAAAGGAATTTCAGAACCAAGAACAGTTACCTATTGTTGCACTCAAGTCGATTCAGAAATAACTGCGTCCTATAAAAAAGTGAAAAGGTAGACAGAGTTATTATACATTTATTTACAACTAGCTTTCGCCCGTGATTTCTACTGCGTGGAATTATAAAAGTAGCCTATGTGCTCTTCCAGACTATCCTCACATCTATGCCAAATTTCATTGAGATCCGTTCAGCAGTTTAAGCTACAAACTCTAACAAACATCCATCCATCCATCTATACTTTCGCATTTATAATATTAGTTAGATTATTGCCTTGTCATCTCCTTAATTGTAAATTCCTTAAGTGAAATTATACTCGTAATGTATGTAATATTTTTAATACATTATGTACTTCAATAAAATAATATTTTGTGAGGATATAAAGTAAATTGAGCCGCATCATTTAAACAGAAAGGAATACAAGTGGCCGTTGTTATCTAGCAAATTGACTATTCTCTGGGCCGCTGTAATTCCTGTGCAAATGTTATTGTTACTTTTATATTATGTTAGTATACATTTAAGTTATCTTCATACCTTGTTGAAACTTTGGAATTATGTTACGTTAATTAGTTTCTTATTGCCGTTGGTTCAATGTTAGAAACATATTATTTGTAAAATAAAAGAAAATATACGTATAATTTGGAGTGTTTTTATTCCTAAATACATCCCACGATGAAGAGGGAGGGTTTCTTTCAATCTTACTCAGCAATAGACTAAATAGTTTATTAAAACTTCCAAATGTATCGTTGATATATCTACTTACATGACCAATTTATGGAATAGGTCAATATTAAACAGTTGTTTGGCCTTATTTCGAATAATCTTCAGCAAAAGTTTGCAATAAAAATATCTCGGGGAAGTAAAATGGACGAAACTTTCTATACCAATGCACGAGGGCACTAAACTTTTGAGGTTATTCGAGTACCAATTGTACTCTGGCTTTCATCCAAAATATGAACGTCGACCTCAAATCTTTAAGAAAAATATCGCTGACCGATTGTATGGTTATCATAAGAATAAGCATATAATGTGTAAAGATTTGCTAATTTAAAATTAAAGCAGCTAAAACATTAGCATCGATGTTACGTAAATATTATGGAAGATGTAAAGATTAATGTAGACATTGAGGCTGTCTACGTGAGCATCTACGCCGTTTACCCTTGGGGCTACCTCTACGATATTTTAATGATATTTAGGTCCAAATTACATGTAAATTAATAGATAACAACCAGTGTACATGCCTGGGGTTAAAAAGTATGGAATCTCTCATTAAAATTACCGAGAAATTTTCTAATCAGTTCTCAAATTGAATCTTAAATTTCGATTATGTACTTTTGTTAGTAAAAACTCGTCAGCAATGTCAATATAATAAAGCGTAACCACAGTTCTTTGTGGCGTAGGATGTCAGCAATCACAACATATTTTTGAACAATTCTTTCTTTAGTAAAAAGCCCTACACTAACGACACGCTATTAAACTTAGGGGGGTTAAATAAATTGGCAAAAAACCTTCATGTGGGAAAGGAACATTAAGGAACGTACGTAATTTTGATATTTGTGGTTGAGAATTTTGATAATTGCAAAGAAAAAAAAGTTTTTATAATTTCATGCGGATGAAGCTGCAAGGCAACAGTTAGTTAACATGTAATGACGTATAATAATGAAATTTAAAAGGGTTTCGACAGGGTTGTCTACTATTCCAGCAATTTTATCACGTCCGCGGTTAAGAGTCTCTCACTGGGTTTAAATTCCTATTCATAGTCGAGACTTCGAATTGATGACGTGACTGATGTCACAAATTGAGTTGTTGAAAAGGGTTTGCTTAACAACGAGGCAAATGATTGGTGCAAGTTGCGGTTGGTAATTTATCAGTCTATTGTACTATTTTCTACTTACAATTTATAAGTCAATTCGGTAAAGCTTGAGAAATATATTTGCAAATAATCTTTTTTTATTTTTAGTTAAAATACCAAGTCTTATTGTGAATGTTGAATTTGGATTATCTTTGACAGAACTGAAGAGGGGCGACAGTTCGTTTTGTGTAGGTTTTTCTATCGTAAACTAAGTCACACTAAGTTTAAAAACTCTAAGTTGAAATATTATCTTCAAGGACTTACACACGCGCGGTCGGCGCACAGTTTTGTAAACCTTAATTCGTTTTTACGGCCGGCTCTGTAGCCAACAGTACATGGTAAGTTTAATTAAAATTAAATAATTATATTATTTTTATTAGTGTAATAAGACGTTTCGTACAGTATTAATAGAACAGCTTACGTATTTGCATGTATTTCCAGTTTGTATGCAAAAGATTCACATCGTAAACCCTTTTTTATGGCCAGTGTTTTTTAAATATTTACATTGACATAAAGAAAACCTCACTAACAATGTAATACGCGGTAGATATACATAACAAGGGACGAAATAATATAATGTTTTCGAACAATACAGCGATTTATAATCGTTCTAATATTACTAATGCGAAAGTTAAGATGGATGGATATTTGTTAGAGTTTGTAGCCTAAACGGCTGAACGGATTTCGATGAAATTTGGTATAGTTGTCGAGGATAGTCTGGAAGAACACATGGGCTACTCACTTTTTATACGCGGGCGAAAGCAAATATTACATAAATAAATGTTTAATTACTAGCTTATTCGAATATACTAAAAAATAGCAGGCAGATTACAAATGAATGAAAGAAAATATGAAAACCAAAAACATAACCTGTAATAAAACAAAACACGTAAAATAAAGTAATTTAGTATTAAGAGAAAAAAAATATACTAAGCCTTGTGAAAGGCTGTAGACAATGCTAAGACCTTCATTAATTACGAAAGAATTGTGAGTTTCAAAACAGTTGTTACATTATTAACACCGTTTGAAAGCTTTAGCTAAGTCAATTCCAGACAATGTTACGACTTACCAAACTAAATTCGATTAAGTTAAGTTATACGACTATTTAAAAATAAGGTATAAAATTAACTATAATTTTTAATTATTTTAAATCTGCTGTTGTTTCATAAATAACGGTATGATTGATCCTTTCACATTAATTATTAAAATAGCAAGTTACAAGCAGATTTTTAGAGGGGTATATGGGTAGAGATCAATGCGGCTCTGGTGTGACCTACTTCATGGGTAGAAGTAGCCTTAAGATTGCCTAAAAGGTAACTTGATAAAGGGAGTTGTTCGCACGAGGGATGCTGGCAACACTAGATGCGAGAAAAAAAGAAACGGCGATGGAGGGATCGCAGAACGCGCATACTTGTCTTTATAATATTGTTGTACCCTGTACGCCCAATGAACCATTTAAATCAAACGATCCTTTGAGTCGGAATTGAACCAGCCTATGGGGATTCTGTATTCTGTCTTAAATGATGAATAATAAAATGATCTATAAGGCAAAAATCTGGTGCCATATCCCAATTGCATTGAGATGAATACAAGTTAACGATTATTACGATTTGATACTTGATAGGTTCGGTGTCAGAATAATAAATTCCACGGTAAAAAAGGAAAAAAGCGTCTGAACCTTTTGTTGATTAAGCATAAGAAGGTGTCAAAAACGACCCAAAGCATGAATAATATACGAAAATGTCTGTTTTGGTATTAAAATATTTTGAACAGTTAATGTAACGTTTGTGTTAATCCCTTAGAGAATTCTAATCTTTATAATCCTGATCGTTTTTATCAAATAGTATTGTTTTGGTTTTTGTCTCTAATACCTTTTTTACCTTTTGTTTCATAATCATGTTAACATGAGAATTATTTTCTTATTAAATTGTTCACGTACTGCGCAGTAAAAGAATCCTAAGGCTTGGACTTAATTAAAGAAGTTTCGTAATGAAAATTCCTATTAGTGAGTGGTAATAAAATCATTGAATTTATCGATATTCGATATTTCGCGAATTGGATGTACAGTTGATGTTGTTTTTACTTAATTCTGAATGCCAGTTTATTACATTTTTAAGAACATAATAAAAAATAATTTTCAGCTATACAGTTCAAATTTTAATCCTGATTCTTGTACAAAATGCATATCGCTTTTCTATACCAGTTTTCATTATAGTATTCCAATTGTAAAATACTTTTGTAAAGTTATTTAAAAACTGTTGGTCGAGATGATCGCGAATCTCTGATATTATTGAATGCGTAATAATTATTTACATTATATAATCCTGCCATCTGGTTATCGTTCATTCTTATTAAAGAAAGTGTAGAGAAAAACCTTTTGCGAATTCTATTTCAGTTGAGGAATCGTACGAAAGATGGCACTGTTTTAAATAAAATATTTTACACGTAGATTAGAATAATCAAAGGCAATACATACATATTAAAAGTTCTATTGTCTAAATTTTGGATAGAAAAATAGATTTCTAGGAATTCAAGTTAGATCTTAACATAATCAATAAAACAATTTTAAAGTCATGTTGGAGTTAACCTGTTTAACTAAAAGTGCATCTAATGAGATTTAGGCACTTTGCCTATTTGTAGTTCATGCCAAGTACGAATGTGTGACACAATTATGTTACTAATGAAGAACAGATTCTAAAATTATTGTCTGTTAGTTTCTCCGTCTGCAGTTACGCAGATATAATCTAATAGTGTACCTTGATTAAAAAACCACTAACAACTTACTAATGGAATGATAGAGTACAAATGCATTTTGTAAAAGAAAGTGTTTTCAATTTGTTTATTTTCTTACTGCAACATGCATTGGCAGATAGAACTATTGGTGAGTGAGCTAATTATTTTTAAAACAACAAATTTCATTATTGAAATAAAAATTTAAAATTTCCAATTAACAGGGGCTATATTCGACGATGGTAGTTTTCTATATGAGGCTGCATTTAACGTAGCTATACAAGAGGCGTCAGAAAATCAGGATAACCCATTCGTAGGAAATGTTATTAGAACTTCACCTGATGATGCTGTTGAAGCGGAAAATGCAATATGTTCTCTTTTAGAAGTAAGGTTACACAGAAATAAGCCTAAAATAGAATCGAATCATGAAGAAATATTTATACTATTCTTTTGTTGTCAGAGCAACTTGTTTGGTGTGTTTGGACCTATTCATAGAACTTCATTACAACACGTACAGTCTATAGCCGATTATTTGGAATTGCCGCAAATAATTACAGAGTTCATAGAGGTACAAAATCGGAACTGGTCTTCTATCAATTTATACCCAAATCACATAGCATATTCTCAGGTAGGCATGTCAGCATGTTATCTCAAATGCTTTAAACAATTCGTGCTTCATTAATCGCAATACTAGTACTTTGTTAATTTGTAGATTTTTGCTGATATAATCAAAATGAAAGGTTGGACAGATTTTACTATAATTTACGAAGGTTCTGAACTTTTACCGTTTTTGGACAACATTTTAACGATGCAGAATTTAGTAACAGATGATAACATTCTAATGACAGTAGTCCAACTACCTGAAGGCGACGACTATAGGTAAAAATTATAGTTTTTGTGTTCGTTACAGACGCATTAGTAAGTAAATTATCTGATATTAATTAAACTTTACTAGTTTATGCCGGAGACGAATCCGAAGGGTTTTTTTCTCTTATGTCTATGACAATTCCTTTGCTTTCAGAATACAATTAAAGAACATAAAAATGTCTGGTTCCGTTAATTACTTAGTAATAAGCGGTCGAGATAATCTTGCTGAAATTCTATTACAAGCTCAACAGGTTGGAATTATGTCTGACAGACATAGCTACGTTATAACGAATCCTGATTTTCACATCGTTGATATTGAATTATTTAAACACGGTGGCTCCAATATTACAGGTAATATTGTTCTAGCACTTTCGGATATAGAAAAGGTTTTATATAGGATTGTTACCTTTCTAGACAAACATCTTAATTTGATTAAAATAAAAACGATTGAAGACATTAAAGTTATTCTTTGCCATTTAAGTTAAAGATTAAAATAAGTAGGGAAAACTGGAATAGCCTGATAAGAAATAAAGAAAGCAGAAAAACATTTGTAGATTACAGTAAAGAAATAGCTCAAAAGGTGATAAATAGAAACAAGATGTAATTTTAAATGTAAAAAAATCAGATTAAAAAAATTAAAAAAAAGTCGTGTATTGCCAGCCTCTAGTTATCTTAACTTATCTATGATATATACTTTAGGAGCAGTTCCAATAAAACATTTGTAATATATACTTTCGTTACCTTCATTTATTACTGTCGAATTTTTTTCAGGTGTTAGATTTTTTGATCAAAGTGCTGAGAACATTCAAAATTTCATAAAATCAATAAATGAACAAGTTTTAGATTTATCGGAGGGTAAAATTGAAAATGCTGTTCCGGAATCAGCACTAAGTTTAAACTTAGCTTTATTATACGATGCAGTATTATTGTATACAACAGCTTTGAAAACGATCGGACTCGAGGAAGGTTCCAACGTTACTTGTGAAGATCAGGATACATGGAATTTAGGATCAAGTATTATTAATTTCGTAAGAACTGTAAGTAATACAAAATTAACTTATGATTTAAAGTTATTAACATACGTAATGGATGTTTTACTATTGATTAGATGGAAATAGACGGAATGACAGGTGTTATAAAATTTGATGAAGATGGTTTACGATCTGAGTTCGAAGTCGATGTTCTCGAAGTTATGTCTCATGGGTTGGAAAAGGTAAACACGGACTAAGTTATTTCAATCTTTCAAATCAGTATCTTTTTATTTAAAGACTTGTTATTAATCTTAGGTAGGTACTTGGAATACTGAAGATGGATACGAAGACTCGAGAACAATGATACCACCAGTCGAAGAGGAAAGAAGTGATTCAATGAAAGGCAAACATTTTATTATACTTACCGCACTGGTGAGTTTAATTCAGCAGTTTACAACAATTGTAGTTGAAATAAGTCTGTGTCTAAAATAATTAATGACTGTAAAGTTGTTGATGAGACAATTAGTATGTTTTTTGTGTTTATGACTCTAGTTGTGTATTAACAATCCATTCATATTTTCCGTTTTCTTTAACTTCAGAGTGCACCATATGGAATGCTTACAGAATCTTCATTAAAACTAGAAGGAAATAATCGTTACGAAGGTTTTGGTATAGAAGTCATAGAAGAGTTAGCTAAGATGAACGAATTTAACTACACATTCGATATTCAAGCTGACGGTGTTTATGGATCTTATGACAGTAAAACGAAAAAGTGGACTGGCATGATGGAAAAAATTATGGATGGTGTAAATTATCAACATTTTATAAATTTGTAATAACTAAAATGAAATACATTATATTACAGGACGAGGATTTTATTTGACGATTAAAATATTTTTATTACAGAGAGCTGACTTCGCTATCACAGATCTAACAATAACTGCCGCAAGGCAAAAAGTTGTCGATTTCACAAGTCCGTTTATGAATTTAGGTATCACAATTTTGTACAAAAAGCCAACGAAACAACCGCCAGACCTCTTTTCGTTTATTTCTCCTTTTTCTCTAGAGGTTTGTAATTTTATAATAAAGTTATACCCAAAATTGAGAGTATCAAAGTAAGTGATATGTGATTTCAGGTTTGGGGCTGGTTAGCCGGAGCTTATGTTGGAGTATCTGTCCTTTTATTTATTTTAGGCAGGTTTGCTCCTGAAGAGTGGCAAAATCCGTATCCTTGTATTGAAGAACCAGAGACATTAGACAATCAATTTACATTAGCTAATGCTTTCTGGTTTACATTGGGAAGTGTACTCACACAGGGATCTGAAATCGCACCAATGTAAATGTTACTTTTAATTACATTTGTTGTAAATATAAAACCAATGTGTTAACATAGCTTAAATAAAATTTTAGAGCTGTATCTACGAGAATGGCGGGAAGTATGTGGTGGTTCTTTACGCTAATTATGGTGTCATCATATACCGCTAATTTGGCTGCTTTTTTGACTGTCGAGTCTAAATTCTACGCTATAAAATCTGTATCAGATTTAGCAAGCAATCCTTATGGGATTACATACGGAGCAAAAAAGGGTGGTGCTACATTCAGTTTTTTTAAGGTAAAGTATAAAATTAACAAATATATCTAGTGAAAAAAAAAACTAGCAATATGTCTTTGCAAGAATTGTAATTTTAGGAATCAGATAATTTACTATATCAGAAAATGTATCACTATATGGATGAACATCCTGAACTCATGACATCAACAAATGACGAAGGACTATTAAGGTATGCTTTATTCTAACCAAAAAATAATAAGAACAACGAAACTGTGAGAGTAAATTGAAATACAAATTATTAATATATTAATCTTTCAGGGTAAAATCTGAAAAAGAAAACTATGCATTTTTGATGGAATCTACTTCAATTGAATACATGGTTGAAAGAAATTGTGATGTAGCTCAAGTAGGAGGCCTGTTAGATAACAAGGGTTACGGCATCGCTATGATAAAAAGTACGTATGATTACCTGTATGTTAATTACGTATTAATGTATTATACTAGTACAATTTTCTTTTAGATTCACCTTACAGACAACCTATGAGTGAATCGATTTTGCAATTGCAAGAAGAAGGCAAGCTGGCAAGGATGAAAGATAAGTGGTGGAAAGAGAAAAGAGGAGGAGGCGCCTGTGCGGTAAGATCTTCTTAAGTTATTTGTCTGCAACAATTTCACACTATCATTACGAATATTATATGAATGGAAGAATATACAAATCATATCAGACTCTATGGAAAGAAGAAAAAGCCAGAAGATTCCATACAGCAATTCGTCTTAAATACAAAATTAAATCCATGTCTATTTTTTTTTATCAAAAGGATGATGATGCAAGTAGCGGTGATGCTCAGCCTCTGGTGCTGGCGAATGTCGGTGGTGTGTTCATAGTGCTGGTCGCAGGATCTGCTCTAGCGGTCGTATGCGCGTTTATTGAAATGATATTTGATGTCTGGATGATATCACATACCCATAAGGTAATAAATTTACTAAAAAACATTTTCTTTATAAAATTACTAAACATTATTAATGTGATACAATTATTGTTAAGGTATCATTTAGGGAGGAACTTATTGCTGAATTAAAATTCATATTGAGCTTCAGTGGGGACACTAAGCCGGTGCGACATCGGGAGTCGACAGAATCTAAGAGTTCTAAGAAGGATGATGATGATAAAAGTGGTGATGTAGAATTTACCGGAGAAGATAACAGACCTGAACACGCACCAACGCCGCGTTCTGAAAGGTCTTCACATTCAAATCATAATGCTCACAGTCGACGTCAAAGTAACGCTGTACAAATAGCAAGAATGAGAAAGTTTACTTAGAATATTGTAAATAACAGTTAAACACACACGTTAGGATTCTTATAAGCATGACATCCAAGTTCCTAAGTTTATCTTAAAGTGACCATCATTTAGGTACAGATTATTAAAGGGAAAAAACCATGTTGGATTTGTTAGAGTAATAAAATATTTCCATTTAATGTTTTTTTTTTTTATTTCATGTTATCAACAACTTTGTTAATTAACTAATATCTTGCCATAGAATTAGCACAGTGACATCTTTTTGCGACACGCTCTTGATTAACTAGACGGTGACAAATAAGTCGCAGTCATCGAGCTGTCTGTTGATGTTCATGCTAAAGAAGATAAGAATGTTTTAATAGAATTATTCCTTATCTGAAAAAATATAACAAGATGAATAGCGCTTAATTAAATTGTATACTTTGTACCGTTTACATATTAATGGATTATTCACCACTACATTTAAAAAAAGCCTTATAATCTAGCTTCCTATTACAGTTATATTAGGTGTTCCGTTTTCACCAATCTACCCAAGATTTTTTCCTCCGAATCACCGTCTACACCGTGGACTATAATTTACTGCTGTGGAATATATAGTTTACAAGACGATTTTTTTTTATAAATTTGTTGTAGATGTAAATCATACCCTTGCTGTGAGGTTTGTCGTGCAATTTATATGGCTAATGGGCTCGCGGAGAAAGATTGTGGTCGCAAAGGTCGGTGTCCATTTCGAGCAGACATTGAAATAATGCTCTTATATATCACTTGTTTATTATTTCGTTGATTATGTATTTTTTACATACTAAGAAAATTTAACCACTAGTTTCATCTATACTAATATAATAAAGAGGAAAGATTTGTGTTTTTGTATGTATTTAAATAATTCAGAAATTACTGGACCGATTACACAAATTCTTGCACCATTAGATAGCTATGATGTCACTGAGTAACATAGTCTACATTTTTAATATTTTTTTTAATTTTACAAGGGCGAAGTCGCAAGCAACAGCTATTTATTTTATAAAATTGTAGAAAACACTATTAACAGAGTTGCTTATACTTATCTTGTAATATACTAACTGGCACAAATTGTTTCATAATTATTAGAGTTAAAATTTTGCTTTTAAAATCTACTAGCTGTATTCACGTCGTTTAGCGAAAGCCATACTAAGTCCAGAGTGTTTGGAACTATGAGAGTGATGTGTTCTATGAGTGTCAGTAGACCTGCCAGATTTTATAGAATGTAATGATTTCACTTCATCTTTGCCTTCAGCCTCCGCTAGAGAATCAGAACTTCCTTGCGTCTTCTGATGACGTTTTACTGGTTTTATATCACCGCTGAACTTCAATGCGAACTTTAATTCTTCTATTAATTCAAATTTGAACGTTGTCTGAAAATTATTAAAATACTCCGTCATTCCAAACCTATTTATAAACTTCTATAAAATTCTTATCAATCGATCAATGGAACAAAAATATGTAATTAATGTTAAAAATATATAAAAATCGTTGATTTAAATTAAGTTTGAGAACTAGCTAAATAATTATATTAATTAATACTTACGTTATATTTAACAGTGCGTTTAAATATTCCCCAGAGCATATCTATTATTGAAATAAAAAGTCCAATTAAACAACCAACTCCCAGAACAACGAAGGCTCCTAACATATTTTTCAAGCCGAGTTGCTTTTGTTCTTCATCCCGTTTTATCTGAAAATGATTTTAATTTGTGTAAAGTAAAAAACTCTGTTATGGTCCGAGGCAAAACGCAGAGCCCAGGACAGAGCGAGCTGGCGGCGTACTGTGGATACTCTGCCCCACTTTGGGGACACAGGACAAAAGAGAGAGAGAGAGAAAATAAACTCCAGGTATTCAATCAGGACAAATAATTTGACAGTGGTCACACAAGTACTTGGACAATTAACCATGATAATTTTATCTTACCACATAGTTATGAAGTTTATGTACTACTTTGGTACAAATAAATGTAACATTACAAAATAGTACTATCATAAATATAATTTTAAAAGACCTTTAAGTAAAAATTAGTTTCGTTGGGTGAACAGTTTTGTTTTTAAACAGTTCCAATCGACGCAAACAACTATAGTCGATGTTCAAGTAATGAGTGTTCGAAACTCAATTTAGACCATTTACATACAAAAGTTGGATGATCAAATTTAATGCTCAGGTGATATCTTGCTGACGAATAAAATAAAAATGTTATAAAACTGGCTCAAGGGATCTGAACTTGCTGTTCTAATCAATGTAAGTAAAAATGTCGTAAAAAACTTCTGATTTTATTGTAAATCAAGTTTTAGAAACACGAATTGAATGTATTTAGAAGTATAGTCTGAATTGAAACTACAATCTGGATTAATTTAGTTCTGTCTGTTATCTAGTACATAATCATTTTCAATATTCATATAGTTTTAAGGCCAATTCCTTTCCCTTCCCCGATGGGATGGCCTATGTAAAACAGAAGACAGATTTAGTCTGATGATGAGTTAAATTCTTACCCCACATTTTCCTCCACCTCGCTTCTCCTTCCACCAAATATTTTTTAGCTTCTGTATTTCACCTAATTCCTTTAGTTTAAGTAAACCGTAGTCAATATATTTCTTGTATGGTGAACCTGTGCAAATTAATTACTGGTTATAAGGTAGATTTTTTTATTTTAAAGAATGAAATAAAAAATAATCTTACCTTTCTTCATTCCTATACCATAACTTTTGGAATCAAATGAGTCACCTACTTGAAGTAAATCGCAATGTCTTTCTTTATAGTACTCTAATGATGTGGATTCCATAAAGAATGCATAAGTTTCATTTTCACATCTGGAAACATTAAATCAATACGTCAATATACCATTAAAAGAGTATAGTATAATTTGCAAGGGAACAGAAAATAGATCTACGACAAACGAATTTAGATGTAGAAGTTGGAATTGTTATAGAAGGAGAAACTACTAATGTGGATTTGTATAGAAATAAATTCACTTACTTTGCCACGCCAATATCATTAGTAGCTACTAGCCAATGGTTGTCGACCATCTTTTTGTACATTCCCGCAAGTGTAGGGTTTGGTGAATGCTAAAAAGAAAAAATATAAAGTAACGTTGTTCTTATTTTCAAATCAATTTTATGTTAAAAAGAATGTTATCGCACCTGAAAGAATCCTAAAGTTGATCCTTTACCTTTGGCTCCGTATGAAATTGATTTTTGCTTGTATAGTTCTTCCAATGTTTCGAAAGGTAAAACATTTTTTTCAACCGTAAGAAATGCGACAAGGGTTCCGACATATGAAGCCACTATGACCATTGTAAAGAACCACCACACACTAGTAATCAAACGCGGGGCTAAAGCTCTGAAACATATTGAAAAAAAAAACGAATTACATTCATCTTAAAGTTGTATTCAAACAAATCTGTTTTCATTTGATGGGTTCGTCCACAATTTAGATACAGAAAACAAATGAACTACTCACATCGGAGCAATTTCAGATCCCTGTTGCATAACAGAACCAATGATAAGCCAAACAGAATTCGCGAAGCTGAACTGATTGCTCAGTTCTTCAGGTTGTTCGATGCATGGGACAGGATTCTGCCATTCTTTGTGCGATATACGACCGACAAATATCATGATCACTCCAAGGCCAAGTTGTACTAATACCATGTAGTACCATACCTGTAATTAAAATTTATTAAGTCTAGATTTATTGCACAATTAGTGTATGCATTTTACTAGCTTTAGTAGAAAACTAAGCCCTTTTTTATTAAATAAATAACACTCCACTTACTTCTTTAGAAAATACTGCCATAAAAGAAAACATTTCGGGTGGCTGTTTACTGGGAGTTTTGTATAAAATCCCTATTCCTAGTGACATGAAAGGTGTCGAGAAGTCTATTGCACTTTGTCTAAGAGAGGTGATAGTGAAATCACATATCGCGAAGTCAGCTTTCTAAAAATCAAATTAATTAATTATTATAATTTATTCCTCTATCCTTATTGGTGGAACAACTTCAAATATCTTACATCTTCCATAAGTTGATAGATCATGCCATTCCATTTCTGTGTTTGAGGATCTTTAGTACCGTATTCAAGTTCTACTTCAAATTCGTAACTGAATCCTAATATTTCGGATAACTTCTCAATTAAATCTATAGTAAATCCTTCGTAGCGATCATTTCCTTCTAATTGGTCAGATGATTCCTTCACATATCCATATGGAGCAGACTGAAAATTTTAAAAATATCAAAATGTAATTTTTTATTTCTTATATTCTACTTTCTTAAACACACTCCTTTTTTACATGGTCTCTTAAAAGACTTACCGTTGCAATTAATACTTTAAATGTTCTATTCTTCATTATTGTCTCTTCAACAATATCAGAACCAACTAAAATTGGTCTAGAAATTGTGAGATTATTGTTATTCCATGTACCGATCTAAAAAAAATGTTATATTATAATTAAAAACTATGGTGACAAAAGCCGCTGTGAACTTGTCCGTGCCAATATTGCTGGTAGAAGAATCTAGTGGCAGCTTGTAACTATCAGTCACTAACCGTTTGGTTTCCAGCAGGTGTTAATTCCAATACATCAAACATAACGTTGTGTCTATCACCGTGGCCATTGAAGATTAATGTTCGTGTAAAACCTTCAACTTTATTCTGGAATAATAAATTTGATTTAGTTGGTTCATCATCATCATTTTAATTATCAGCCTGAGGTCTTCCACTACTTAACGTAGGTCTCCCTCATCGATTGCTACGTTGGGGTTACTTTACCCTAAAAGTCTAAATTGGGGACAAAAGTTTGTATTGAGATATGACATTCCTTCAGAATTACATTAACAAAAATGCTTTGTTTTAAAAGCGGTCTTTGCGGATGAAGTAACATCTCACTGCTTGGGATCTAAATCTATACTATTATAATAATGCGTAAAACACACACTTCTTTGTTGCGCCAGATATCAGTAATTACAGCATATTTTTGAATAATTCTTTTTTTGATAAAAAGCCACACTTACATCATGCTTAAGGCTATATATTTTCACGCCATTAAACTTAGGGGGTAAATATTTTGGATAGAAACCCTAATGTGGGAAAGAGACCATAAGTTGCTGCCAACACCAAGAAAGTAAAAAATAAACATAAATAATAAACAACGTACAGTTTTCATAAAATTTAACAACGAAGATCCATGATTCCAAGATGTGCCGTTTTCACAACTAAGACCCTCAGGTCTCTGGAGACCATATTTCATTTTCTCAGTTGCTTTTAAAAATATAAGCACAGCGTCGTGTATTAATAATATTTCACTTGATAGTTGATCTGCTTCGAGAGCGAAGACGAATTCCTTATTAAAGTTGTAAGCGAAATTCCATAAATCCTCATTTTCTTCGAAGTCAGCTAATCTAAGCGCTGTTGAATTACATTTTGGATTAATAAAGCCGTTGCAAAGATATCACAATATTTAATTATAATTAATTGAAACAAATACCTGTCATGTTAACTCCTCCATATCTATATCTTTCCAAATCTAATGTGAATAAATCAGGAGACACAAATATGTACGAATGTTCGTCAGCCAACAAACCAACTTCTTGTGCGTGTTGTAAAATGATAGGAACATTTTCTTGAGGACAGTCAACCACAAAATTTACGTATCCACTCTCTTTGGCACTGATAAGAACATCTCTGAAAGATAATAAATCACTAAGTAAAAAAAATTTAAGAAGACGAGCATTGTGTTCTCACGTACTTTCTATAGTTTTAAAGTTACATTGAATTTTTTGTTCAGGTAAGGTCACTACTCTCATAACATCTATTTTTTTTTGGTAAGATAACTATTCATAT